TGAACTTGCGTCAATTGTCCTCGAGTGTGACTGATTACTTAGCTCAATTTGAAGAGCTCTTTTTGAGATATGACATAAAGGAAGAGCCTTAGATAATAGTTACAAAATTCATTAATGGTTTGAGATCTGAGATTAAGAGAGAGATTAACTTACACTCTCCTGAAACGGTTGAGGAAGCATGTTATAAAGCCTTAGAGATTGAACAACACCTTAGGCCACCCTTTCAGCGTTGCATGCCTTCTTAAACCAGAGAATCTCAACCATTAAGGTCAGTCTCATTTGATAAGTCTCGAGTTGTCACCCAGTCAGGGCTTGTCATATCCAGGGATAACACTTACCCCAACTTGAGAGGTAATACCACTAGGGGTCGAGATTCTACACTCATGGGTTCTCGCCAGGACAGTTCTTCCATAGATTGTCACCATTGTCATGACAAGGGTCATATTGCTTCACAGTGTCCTCAGCGTACTTGACCATTGACCATTGATCAGGGGTTAGGGAATTCACTTGGCGGAAAGAATATTGACCAAGAAATTAATCATTTAGATGAGGAACCCCTAGAGTTACTAGATGAAGGTGAGGAAGACTGGCAAAATGATGACACCCGTGTCAATGTGATGGGATGCATCTTATCCACTCCTTCAGGCACAAAAGCATGGAAACACACCAACATTTTTCATACTCTAGTCCAATGTGGGAGTCAAGTTTGCAAGGTCATCATTAATGGGGGAAATTCATTGAATGTCATTTCTAAGTCGATTGTAGCTTAGTTGTAGCTTAAGCCAGAGACACACCCACAGCCTTACAAGATTGTATGGGTTGGCAAGACCTCCTTACCAGCCTCACAGAGACGTTTGGTCCCTATTCAGATGGGTGATTATTCAGATCATATATGGTGTGATGTCTTACCCATGGATGTCACTCATGTCTTGTTAGGTTACCCATGACTTTTTGATTTAGATGTGACAAACTATGGGAGAAAAAATACCTATATTTTTAAGCATAAGGGGAAAACCATTAAGTTAAAACCTGCAAAACTATCAGAAGGTAATAATTCAAAGCATAGGTCATCTTCCCAAATAATTCACAAGAAAGACCTTCACAACTTGACCTATAGGAAATTTGAAAAAGAGAGAAAAGAGTCTGGTGTAGTGGTAGCTCTAATTGTCAAAGAAGTTTTTCAGAGTCCTTTAGAATCTAAGGACAATCTTTTGCCTAAGGTTGATAGTCTATTGAGAGGGTTTCAGGATATGATCCCTGAGGAATTACCTGATGAGTTGCCACCAATAAGAGATGTTCAACATGCTATTAACTTAGTTCCAAGATCTCAGTTGCCTAATATTCCCCATTATCATATGAATCCCACTGAGTGTGCTGAACTCCAAAGGTAAGTAGATGGACTTTTGCAAAAAGGGTATGTTCGTCATAGTCTTAGTTCATGTGTTATCCCTACTTTGTTGACCCCTAAGAAAGATGACTCTTAGAGAATGTGTGTGTTGATAGCTGTGTAATTAACAAAATTACAATCAAGTATTGATTTTCTATACTGAGACTTGAAGATATGCTTGACTTTTTGGCCAGCGCACTTTAGTTCTCCAAAATAGATTTGCGCAGTGGTTCTCATCAAATCCAAATTAGCCCAGGAGATGAATGAAAAACCGCCTTTAAAACCCAGGATGGACTTTGTGAGTGATTGGTCATGCCTTTTGGATTGTCTAATACACCTAGCACATTTATGAAGGTTATGACTCAAATATTGTGTCCTTTCCTAGAAAAATTTGTGGTGGTCTATTTTGATGACATCTTGATCTACAGTAGGTCTAAAGAAGAGCACTTGGATCATCTTCAACAGATTTTTCAGACATTACGTGTGGAAAAATTCCATGCAAATCTTAAGAAGTGCTCATTTATGCAATCTCAAGTGCTTTTTCTTGAATTTGTTATTTTTGCGCATGATATTCCAGCTGACCTAGAAAAACTTTGTGCTATTAAGAATTGGCCAATGCCACAAACAATTTCTGAGGTTCAAAGTTTTCATGGTTTGGCCACTTTCTATAGGCGTTTTATTAAGGGGTTTAGTTCCATTAAGGCTCCCATTATAGACTCTTTCTACAACTAGAGCTTTTCAAGAAATTAAGCACAAGATGACAAAGGCACCCATTCTTCGACACCCAAATTTTTCTAAGGTGTTTGAGGTGGTCTAGGGATAGGTGGAGTTTTGAGTTAAGAGGGTCATCTTATTGCTTACTTCAGCAAAGAGCTCAATGAAGCTAAACAACGATACTCTACATATGACAAAGATTTCTACGTTGTGGTACAAGCTCTCCGTCATTGGAGGTATTATTTTTTGTCATCTAAGTTTGTGTTATATTCTGATCATTAGGCATTGAAATACCTTTATTCCTAGAGAAAATTGAGTATTAGGCACATTAGGTGGGTTGAGTTCCTTCAGGAGTATATTTTTGTTCTTCACCACTGAGTAGGCATTGAAAACAAGCCTACAGATGCTCTTAGCCGTGTAGTTTATGTTTTACAGACTATGAGTATCCATGTGATCGGCTTTGACAGGATTAGAGATGAGTATGCCTCTAGTCCTGACTTTAGTATCATTTTTCAGGATGTTCAGGCTGGTAATCATCATGAGTACATTGTCTTCCTCCTTAGAGATGGTTATTTGTTTAGAGGGTCGCGCTTGTGTATTCCCCGTACTTCACTTTGGGATTTTTTAATTTGGGAATTACATGCGAGAGGTCTGGCAGGCCATTTTGGTAGGAATAAGACATTTGCACTTGTAGAGGATAGGTTTTATTGGCCCACTTTAGACATGACATTTTTACGGTAATGTCACAGTGTCGCACTTATGAGTTAGCAAAGGCTATGAAACAAAACACTAGGTTGTACATACCATTACCGGTTCCACATACACCATGGAGAGACATTAGTATGGACTTTGTGTTAGGATTGCCTAAAACAGCCCATAGTAATGACTACATTCTAGTTATCGTGGATCGGTTTTCTAAGATGGCCCATTTCATTCCTTGCACTAAGTCTGTTGATGCCTCTCACATGTAGCAAAGTTATTTTTTCGAGAGGTCATTCGACCATATGGGTTGCCTATTTCCATTGTGTTTGATAGGGATGTCAAGTTTATGAATTATTTTTGGAAGACACTTTGGAAACTCTTTTGAGACTAGTCTTAAGTTTTCATTTGTCTTTTATCTCCAAACTGATGGTCAAACTGAGGTTGTCAATCGTAGCTTAGGAGATTTGCTTAGGTGTTTAGTGGGTGAGAAGATAGGAAATTGGGATTTGTTGTTGCCTACTGCTGAATTTGCCAATAACAACTTCATCAACAGGTCGACTGGTAGATCCCCTTTTGAGATTGTTTATGGTCATTCCCCTCGACAGCTTATTGACTTATTACCTTTACCTCCTGATTCCCGCCCTTCACACTCAACCAAAGCTTTTGCCCAGCATATTCATTATTTACATGTCGACAAAAGACAGAAAATTATATTAAATAATGAGAATTATAAATTGGCTACAGATGTTTATCGTAGGAATAAATAATTTATTATGGGAGACTATGTCATGGTTCGTGTGCGTCCTAAACGGTACCCTAAAAATTCTTTCAAAAGTTACATGTTCGAGCCACTAGCCCTTTTCATATTCTTCATAAGCTTAGACCTAATGCATATCATCTTATCTTACCTTCTAATAAATGTGGAGGACTTATTTCCTTATCATGGTACTTTTGAGCCTCCTATGTTGCCAGTAGGTGTTCCTACAAGTGGAGTTGCTTCATCATTAGCATCACCTACAATTAATATTCTTCCACCGTTCCCACCACAACTACATGACTAGATTGCAGATGTACTTGACAATCATAATGTGGGCACCTTGGATGGAGAATATCGTCGTTATCTTGTTCGGTGGAGAAATCGTCCAGAGACTGATGATTCATGGATTACTGAGGAAAAGTTTGTCAGTTGGACCCTGATCTTCTAGAGTATTATCATGATTGTATCTCTCCGGAGGCAAGTTCTTTTTAGCCATGAGAAAATGATCAGAATCAGATTATATTTCGTTATAGTAGGCGTAGACGTAGGGATTATGAGTTATTTGTCATTTTATTTTTCAGGGACTTAGTTGTCATTTTTATTATTTATTTATTTTAGGGTTTGTGATCTCCTTATATATATAGGATTTGTAAACTCTTTATATATATAGAGGATACATATTTGTTGTGGGATACTTTTGATTATTATAGATTATTGATATTGAATCCTTCTTCCTCAAAGTTTTTCTCTGTTCTCATCCCCTTCTTCTTCCCTTCTCATCCCTAGTCCTTCTTTATTACGATCTACATCAATTTGATATCAGAGATAATACAATCTACATCAGAAGAAGATTGAGGCAACTCAGAAGAAGCCATCCTATTGCCCAAGTCTGCCATTTGCTTGGATCTTTGTCGTATCTATGAATGTGATATCCCTCACTTCAGAGAAACTTCAGCCCTAACAATTTTTTTTAGATCCAAATTTAAATTTGGGTTGAAATGATGCAAAATTTTTCTTTAAGTGATGCAAATGCAAAGTTTTGTAACATACCAAATCAAATTTTTTTTATTCATTTTTTTACTTAAATTTGGGTAATAGTATAAGTCTCCATTGAAGATGATTTTACACAAAATTGAAAAAATAACATTTATATTGGTACAGCCCACTCAAATGCTAAATGAAATGTTTGTTTTGTTGCCCATGTCATATAGAAACCTCAAAGCTATGCACTTTATGATCTTTAATCACTATTGAACTAACGGTCCAGCTTGGTAGTTATTAGTGACAGTGAGGATCACCCAAGACTGAAGTTCGTTTATTTCTGGCCCATTAAAAAATTGGCCGAAAATAAGACAATCCAAGCCCATCTCAGTCCAGCCCAATTTGACTAGGCTTATGAAAAAAAATCTGGGCTCAACTATAAATTTTCATATCCTAAACCTCTCTCTCTCTCTCTCCAGTCTGCGATGGCTGCTGCAACCTGGAATGTCTCTCTGATATCTCCTAAAACCCTAGTATTCAATGGCTGCTCTTACCGGGGCACAAACCCAAACCAAAGCCCTATACCCTCGGTTCCAAAACCTTCACCAACACCAAGTCTCCAACTCGTCTCTTCCTTCAGGTTCAACTCACTACTGACTCAGTTCCCAGCTCGGCCTCACTCGACCCCACGTGCTGCTGCGTCTCCAATTCGAGCGGGTCTCGATAGTGAGTATTCGTCGAGGAGAAGTAGCAGCAATGAGCCCAGAGAGACGATCCTGTTACCGGGCTGTGACTACAACCACTGGCTCATTGTCATGGAGTTCCGCAAAGACCCTGCACCCACCAGAGAGCAGATGATTGAGACATATCTCAATACTCTTGCTACCGTTTTGGGAAGGTCTGTTCTTGGCTTTTCATTTTCATTTTGGGTCTGTTTGGTTCTTGGGAAAATACTTGATGGAAAGTTCTCTTTTGGGTTGATTACTATTTAGTTAAGATTGAATATTAGATATACGGTTGAGTTCATATATATATATATATATATATATATATATATATATATATACACGGTTAGGTATATATGTTAATGTGGTGAAAGTTTGTGCTCTGTTTGGATGTGATATGTATTTCTATAGGGGGCCTGAGGAGAAACACTCAATTTCAACCATATCAGAAACTATAGAACTATAGAAGTACTTTTTTTTGGCTATTTTCTTTTGGTTTCCTAAGGAGAGAAGGAAGAACCTTTGAGAGAACAATCTGTGGATGAGCTTGACACTGATATTTGTGGTCTGCTTTGTGATTGACATGTTTATATTTTTGTCAATTCGTAAGAGTTAAACACATCAAATGAGAAATCACGTAAAACATAATTTATCAACATAAGTTTTGTTGGTTCTACTTAGATTGTGAATTGTGTTGTGTACTCATGGATAATTGATGCTGCCGGATGGCAGGAGAATTTTAGGTCCCTTCAATACAAATTTTGGATTTTTTTCCCCTGTACTTTCTAAATGATGTTCTTTATATTCCTGAGTTTTTCAAGAATTAAATGAAAAATAAGAGCTAAGAAAACATTATTCAAGAAACAAATGGAAAAGGTTAAGGAGACGACTGACAACAAATGAGCTTTAAATCCTTGGAATCTTTGTTTTTATGCACCTGACATGGGCATCATTTGATGGCAGCATGGAAGAAGCAAAGAAGAATATGTACGCTTTTAGTACCACTACTTATACTGGATTCCAATGCACAGTCGATGAAGCAACATCTGAAAAATTCAAAGGTTCGTGAATATTAGAAGTGCTTGATTGTTCAAATATCTATTCTTATGCTAATTTCTGGGTGTTATTGTTTCATTATGCAGGATTGCCTGGAGTTCTCTGGTGTTGCCTGATTCATACATTGATGTTAAGAATAAGGATTATGGAGGTTGGTGTGCTTAATCTGTTGGTAGTATTGAAGGCATGTGCTTTTACGACCATTAAAATTGTTTATTTCATTTCAACTCTCTTCTTTTTGTCGGTGTTGTTTTAGGGGATAAATACATCAATGGAGAAATAATTCCATGCAAATACCCCACTTATCAGCCAAAACCACGTGGACAGTCTAAATATGAGAGCAAAAGATATGAAAGGCGAAGAGATGGCCCTCCTGCAAGAAGACGACCAAGACAAGAAGCAGCTCAATCAGATTCAGCCTCTGGATGAGGTTCTGTTATTTTCTGTTGTATGTCCTAGAGTCTCCTAGTTATATACTTTGTAATCTTTAGGATTGTTTTGATGTCACCTTTTATTGTCAATACTTCGTTTGTATCGTTGCTAAGGTGGTTATTGATAGATGAACTGCTGGTGGTGGATATAATTGCTAGTTTTGTAATAGAAACGCTTGTCACTTGGTCACTTCTCAATGCTTTTGTAAAACGCTATGAAATTTTACTTGGATGAAATATGATACTGTATGAGCTTCTCATTTATACCAAGTTATTAATTCTGAAATGTATAGTGAAGTTTGTTATGCATGTATAGAATTTCTAGTTTTTATCGTATATTAATTCCTGATGCGTGCTACAGCTTATATATGCATAATCAAAATTGGTGTAATGATTTCTTTGGGACTGAATTTGATCAAACTAGATAAAAAAAATGATCAAATAATTTTCTAAATTTTCCAATTTTTAAATTTGAAGTTGATTAGAAACAGAAAAAAAAAAAAAGGGATACTCGTTATTTAACGAAGATATTTTCTTGAAACTCATGCCCTTTCAATCTTCAACTTCCATTGGTTTGTTACTTTTTGTTCATTGTAATTTGTTTGTTATTCTTGTATCTTCCTATATGGTTTCTGAACTTCAACATATTGAAAGTAGATACAAATCTTCAAATGTAGAATTTCGAGGTGCAAACTTTTGGTCTATAGTTTATTTCCAGCTGTTATTTTTGCAGCGTAGTATATTCCCTTGGCTACTTATCGAATGGTCGGTAAGCATGTAAGTGTAAGGAGTTCCGGATCTGATAGACTTCTTGTGGCTCCTTTTGTTCCTTTCACTTTTTTTATATCTCATTGCATGTGTGCATCTTTCATGGGTTTCTCTGGCGAAGGGGTGGGGTGGAGGTTGGAATGCACTAGCAATATGGGATGAAGAGAGGCTGAGAACTCTTCAGGTAGATGGTTGCTACTTAGACTGTATCGTAGCCTTAATGCTTCTAGTTTCTACAACTATAAGGGCATTGCAGAAAATCTGTAAGGATGCGCTCTCAAATGCTATTAGCAGCACTATGGAATGACACCTGAAGGGGTTAAACTTCGTGATTACACGTGATATGACATTAAATGTGCTCACGTGGTGTTGACAAGACAAGACACGTGATGAAGAATCTTCTATTAAGTCTTTTAACCTGGCCGAGTTAATTAAAGGTTCGGCAATCAGGAAAAGAGTTCGGTTCTTTTTATGACCGAACTCATCAATCTGTTCAGCTAAGTAAGGAAAGAGCTTGGTTTGTACCAAGCCGAGTTAATTAAAGTGTTCGAGAAGGTGATAGAAGAGACCGGTTTGTGCCAAGCTAGGTCCCTAAAACTATTCGGCTAATATCGAGTTTGCTCGGCATTCGCTATGTCCGAACTGTTCGAAACGATAGATGAAAAGATAAAAATACGATAGATGGAAAGATAAAAATTCGCCTATGACTTAGGCAATCGTATAAACAAATCAACGAAAATGTAACTATCAGGAGAAATTGTTGAAGAAATATCAGTAACTTCCCAAACTGAATGATTGAATTAAAGGAAGGTATGCCACCTTGAATCGAAATTTACGGAAACCCTAAGGGGATAAGGATCTATAAAAAGCAGAAGAGATCAAGGTGAAAGGTATGCTGAACTCTCTTGGTCTTCTTCCATTTGTTCTAGTATCTTTACTGACTCAAACATTGGAGTGCTTTCGATCGAAACACTTCGATCTTTGGCAGTTAGTTCGTATTGTAGGTAAAGGAAAACTGGGAAATCAAGTTCAAAAGCACATCAAATTTTCAATTCCTATAGGAGGTATTCTCATTTTTTTGCCTCTTACAACACCCTTTTTGTGATCTATAGACAGACTCTGTAACTACATGAACTTGTCTAGAGTGTTCCATCAGCGCCTGAGATCCAAGAGATGAACTTTCAAGACTCGAGTATCCTTCTTAAATTAAGTAATCTAAGAGGGTAGAAATCTCTAAGGAGCATTTTTTGTGACAGTTCTACCTGTATGCCAAAATTCTGTATTCTGTGAAGTTTTGATTCCTGTCAGTCAAGTGAATATGTTTGCTTTATCTTGATGAACTTTTCTATTGAATTTAATTGATTTACGTTGTTCTGTAGCAGTTTAGGTCTATTTCAGCAGTTATAGGAAGGCTTTGTCTGCAATCTCAGTATACTACTGCTCAAGTTTCTGGATTAATCCTGGGTGGTGAATTTGTAAACTTAAAAAGTTGTCTTTCAGATCTTATGCAACCACTACACCACGAGTACGACTAGTAGATTTTTCAAAGTATTTTGTTGACAAAAATATGCAATTTTTGGTGGAATAAAAATAGAAGAAAGCTTTATGAGTCGACTAGCTGATTAAACATCAGATATACTCAATTTTTGTGGGAATTTGCAATGTCTAAGAAGAATAAACATCTGATATGTGAGAAGTTTAAACTGTTATGTTCATGAATAATAGTGAATCAGTGAATTATTCTTTTTTTCTTCTTTGGTTCTTGAAATGGTGGTTTACATAAGTTACTTACATCTTATCCTCCATAAATCTCACAATGGAAAGTTTGTTCTTTCTTGAACTAACCAACACTGCTCTCCTATGCTAAAAGCATGCTACAAATTCAAAGTGTTCTTTGGATTCCACCTTTTTTTTTTTTTTTTTGGGTGACTTTGATAGGCACTAGTCCTTGATCCTTACAATCGAACATCACATGGTATAATGGAATCCAAGGCTATGTAGGGCTGGTGAATCCTGCGATGCTAATTGGGAATCATTTTCTTGTCTTTGCTTGTAGACTTTTTTTTTTCCCGCAAATGGGGGACCAAATCCATTTGGTCCTACCACTAAAACCCTGATTGCAGTCGAAGTCAAAGTCTCCTTTAATTCGATAATGAGTTATAATATTTTGGGTTTTTTAAAAAAGATAAGATGCAGAACGTAAAAAACTTTAGTTGGATGTAAGTTTTATCACTAAATGTTTCTCTGTACTAGAGTTTTGTAGATAATTTTACACGCAAACTTGATATGAAATCAGTATAAAATTTATATGTTTGAGTTTAAAATTAACAAATTCAAATGGTATATAGGTAAACTCTAAAGACAAATCAAAGAAATAGTTTAACACAAACTGATTAATCATGTCTTATTTTCATATACTGCCACAAATTTGATACATCAGGAACTCGACTATAAATAATTATAGACGGGGTGAGTAAAAAACTATATATTAAACTAATTTTAACACAACATGACAAAATCAATTTATCAATCCTAGCCATGCCAATGTCATGCATAAGGGGATGTACAACCGACACGTTGGTCAGACAAAATTTGATATCACATCTCACTTTTTGTTTTTGAACAATCAAGATGTTTGAATCAGTTTACTTACACTTTAATTAAATTTTTTTTAATCTAATCAAAAATAAGTCATTCACATCGGGACTAAAATATTCATAATAGCCTAATTCGAATTTAAAAATGCTTTTCTCATGCCTAACTAATACAAAAGCTTGTGAAAGTTACCAAATTTAGGAAACAGGAAGGGAAAGTAGAAAGTAGCCGGTTTACCCTTTGGTCCACGTGTGTCAAACATTGAACCTGCGCACAGAACACAGGTCCTACATAGGGTGACACAATAATTGCCCATTACAGCTTCCGTACAATTCCTTTCTGTCATTGCTTGTTTCCTCTTCACCCTTCAGTGGCATAACTGATAATAATCTTACTTCCGTGTCATAATATTCAGGGTTTCATTATGGTATCTCGATTATTCGACTAATAAAAATGTGTCACGGATATAATTTTTTAATTCTATATATATTTTTTTATTTTTTTATTTTTTTAATTAATAATTACAAATCATTCATTTTAAAATCAATAATTGATATTATCGGAGACATGGTACCGACATCATCATAATTTCCTTTTAAAACTAAGCTTAAAAAACATTATTATTATTTTATCCTTTTTTCAACAATGGCTAAACTTTGATGTACCGTTGCCATGGATTTTCCTTTCTCATGCTATATGGACTCTTAAAACAAAATCTTTAAAGTTTCAAAATGACCACTTGCTCCCAAATGTTTCAGAATTTCACAGAGTACCCTTGAACACCTTTTCTTTTTGGACGGATCATTAGCTGCTGCCGACTTTCTTGCTCGCTTCAGCCGTTACATTGTTTCTCACGGGAGGTTGTCGTTTGAGTGAATTATCCTTCAATACTAAAATATTGTCAAGACCCTTCAACATTTCAACAATCTGGACATTTGAATCCCTAACAATAGATACACCATATGGAGAAAGTTATTTAAGAGTCAGATGAACATTAATCCCGATCAATTAGCCGTTGGCATAGGAGCAGAAGGAGACCATCTATGGTGAGACGGTACGTGGAATCGCTATATTTTGAAGAGTGGCATTTCTTATTTCTTTTTTGATTTGAATGTGAAGTCGAGAGATTTCAATAGAATCATCTTAAAAGTGAGTTTCTTATAGAGCACTCGAAACTATTTAAATTATACTCGGGAGGACAACTATTTCAAAAGTTCTGTGGACTTCAGGAAAGGACTTGGTTTTTCTGCATTTGTAAGCTAGAACTTCTATCTCGTTATCATTGCAAGCTAAAAATTTCAAATCAAATCAAAAACAGTATGACAATATCTCCCACAGCGAAAGGGTAATAGAGTAAAACCACCTTTAAACCCTCTTTTAAAGTTTATAAACTGTTTTTTCTGCTTTCCAAACTCGGAACGTCCTCCTTGTTTCCCAAAACCACCCCTAAAACCCCCCCTCTCTCTCTCTCTCTCTCTCTCTCTCTCCATTCATGGCGTTCCTTCAAACCCACATACCAGTTCTTGTAAACCTCCTAGGTTTTTTGATCTTTCTCTCTCTTCCTGTCTCTCACTCCTTGACCATCCATGATCTCCTCAGAACAAAAGGCTTACCGGCAGGTCTTCTTCCAAAGGATGTCAAGTCCTACACACTCTCTGAAACTGGTCTTCTCGAGGTCTACCTTGAAGAACCATGTTTAACCAAGTTCGATACCAATTCCTTCTACGAAAGCGTTGTAAGGGCTAACCTGACCTACGGTGAGCTTACTGATGTTGAAGGTATGTCTCAGGAAGAGCTTTTTCTGTGGTTACCCGTCAGAGACATCATTGTTGATGATCCAAAGTCCGGTCTCATACTGTTTGACATTGGGGTTGCTCAGAAACAGCTTTCTCTCTCTCTCTTTGAAGATCCACCGGATTGCAAACACCAAGGTAAGTGGGGTCTTATAAAGTTTTGATCAGATTGGATGATTTTCATTGATCACCATCAAAAATGTTTTTTTTCCTGTTCCTTTTAATCGTGGATTTAATGCTTTGTCCGTTGGGTTCTATAAGTTCTGCTTCTTTTGTAACGTCTGCTGTCTCAATTGAATTGGATTTCTGTTATTTTTTTTAATTGGGTATGAAACAGATTTACATTCATGACAGGTAATTCATAAACTAAATCTTTAGTCTCTCTCTCTCTCTAAAGTTCGGATGGGTAGTATAAGTTTATTAGTAGGTCTTTTGAGAGCTTCTAATTTTTCTAAAGGGCTGTTTTTCCTAAATTATGCTCCCACTACTTTTGAACTGATCTCCATGTGTGACTTTTAGTTTATTTGTGAGGTTCTTGTGTGTTGTTTTTCCATCATTTTTTAGGAAATTCAACTTACGATCACCATTTACTTGAACTGGTCACCATTCACCTTTCCTTCTATCAAAATGGTTTTCATTTATAAAAATTTTGCAGGTGTTTTGATGAAGAATGCTAAGAGGGGCAAAGGCTTTGAAGCTCAAAGATAGAAATTGCCACTCATGTTCATCTACCCTTCTCTTTTATTAATGTAAATTAGCTATGTGTTCTTAGATGTTGTTAGGGCTGCAAAAATTTAGGAATCATATCTCTCTAAATCAGCTTAGGAGTACTAATTTCAATTTTTTTTTTTCCTTCATTCCTATCTCTTCTAATCTCCATAGAGTGGATCTATTTATCTATATATATATATCTCATTTTCCTTCTCCTAGTAGGAATCTCTTTTGTTTGTTTGGAAGTTGTTGGCTACATTTCTATCTTAATAAGCTACTAACGAACTCTATTCAAAGGACAGTTTTCCTCTCATTTTATTATCTTATCTTCATCATATTGTTCTACTATATTCTATAACAAACGTAAGAACCTCCGTCACCTCCGAAGTAAACTTATTTTATGTCGCTTTCTCTAAAAATAAATTGCTAATGAGGTGAAATTTTCTTATTCTTATGCAAGTCCTCATGAGGGCATAGTTGATCGATAATTTATCTTTCAATTCCGATTCTATCTTTTTTTCTCGAATCTTTTGCAAATGACTCAATTGTTCGTATTGTTGTATTTTACTGGTTGTCAATTAGCCAAACTTTTCCAGAAGAAAAATTAGATTTGTTTCAATTTTTACACTTTATTTGAAGGTTGTAGACTCAATCTATTTACAATCACATAAAATTGAATTTATATTGTGTAAAATCAAATTCCTAACTATTCATCTTATTTAAGTTATGATCCAACGGATTAAATTTACATCAAGTAATTTTGCATTGATTTAACTTGGAGACAGATAATGTTAAGAATTATAAACCTATTAGTTAATACCTGACAAGAAACTAAAATTTTATACTTATCAAATTTTTCATTTTAGGTATTGTCACACAATCTCCGTCATTAAATATTAACAGGACTTATTTATTTGATGGTGAGAAGAGTGCGACATTATTTGGGATAAAAATTTTGGTAAAAAATCTTTGTCAGCGTAACAACGTTGGACAGATAAAAAGGAGATAATTTTTGGTGTTTGTAAGGCACTAGATGACAATACCACCTGGTGTTAATACCCAACGAAAATTTGTCGCAACACATAGAGTTCATTAGGTTGCCGTATTAAAAATAGACGAATTAGATAAAATAATTTGGTCTAATATAATACAAAATGACAAAAAAAAGACTAAATAGGATATTATAATAATGCGTAATTTTATCTAGTGTTTGGTAATACACAACACAAAAACTAGATAATAATTATTTAATCCAATCGGTTGTTTGGTTAAGGAATTATTTTATCATATTAATGTTGAATTAACAAAAATACCTTCAATCAGTGTTTGTTACATTGATGACAGTTTGATTTTATCAGTTGGGGGGTTAAAATGGTAAATGTGTAAAATAATACGTTTGAGTTGGATTATAATACCACCTATTTTGGTGGTATTAAAATACCTCCAAAATACAGGTCTAATGCATAAAAAATATACGATTAATATACGTTTTTGAAATTAATACGGTATTAAATTTGTTTATCAAATAAAATATTAGGTCTGATTAAATAAACAATAATATAATCTAATATTTAATTCTCTTATAATTCGTCTACCAAACAAGCTCAGAGTTGTTAGACTCACAAGTTGATTTTTTTCCTAAAAAAAGGTGGAGAACTTTAACCGTGACAATAATTAATATATTTTTTAAGAAAAATGGGAGAACTTTTACTGTGATAATAATTAACTAAAAATATATAATATTTTATGAATAATGGACACCAAGTGAAGACCGAACGAATATTTTTTATTTATGGAATATCAAAGGGACAAAAACTATCTTTGATTTATCAAATTTGGAGTGTTATCAACGACGAGGGTCCACAGAATAGTTAATTTTTTTTGGTCAGATTATTTGATATTTGAAAGTTTTTTGGGTTTCGATTAATCCGGATTCGAGTCGGGTGGAACTACAAGGGCGGCAAAGTTCTCCCTACCGAACACAGCTGCGTTCTTAAAATTCAAACTCGAGATCTTAGTTAAGATAGAACAATTCCTCGCTAACTGATATAATGTTCAGTGGTACAGAATAGTTAATACTGGGCGGGAAAGATGGCCAATCGAAAGGAGGAGAGAAATGGACCCACGCTGACCCTACTTATAGTGACATCTATGATTGTATTATTCATCACATATTCGCATGTCCTGCTCCGTGAGCAATGTTATCAGATCAGACCAGCTGACCAGGCGTCAAACTGACAAGGGGATCAAGACAATAGTTCTTCGGTTCAATTGTTAAGTCAATTGATCGTACTGTTTATATAATAAAAAATAAAAGTTATATATAAAAATTATTAAAAAAATAATAATTTGAATAAAAAATTAAAAATTTATATAATAAAGTACAGTATAATTTAAATTCCCAATGATTTTAATTTTTCGCGATCTAGATCATTTCTAAATTTATCTATATTAAATCTAATGGTTAAAAATTATTCTTTATTTTTGTTTTTCCCCTCAAAAACATTTCATATTTGGTCCCACCCTTGTGCAATTCACGCCTCTTCTCCCACATTTCTCTCTCACCATCTCTGTCTTTTTTTTTTTATTTTTTTTAGAGGGAGGGGAACTTGAACTCTTGACTTTAAGAACGCAAAACCTTCATACGATAAGGAATACCATTGGATCAAAGGTACATTGGTATCTCTGCCCTAACTTCCGAGTAAATCACATTTTTCTCTCCTCTTTACTTAGGGGGTGCAACTTGGGCGGGCCAACTCGAGTCCAATCCGAAAAAAATAAAGTTTGGGTTAGAATTTTTAATACTTGGGTTAAGTCTGGACAAAAAAAAAATCACAACCTGAATTGAATTTGAGTAAGTCTCGGGTTGTCGAGTTCAACCCGAATATTGAAATCGGGTTGAACCTGATTATTAAATTAGGTTGAACTCGAATATACATAAATAAATAAACATATTTAAGTAAGGTTAATATTTATCTTTAGTCTTCAGAGTCTAGACTTTCACTTCATTCTTGCTCCTCAATTACTTTCAAATCCCTCTCTCACTCGTCGATCGTCTCTCATCTGATCTTAGACTCTCTCATTCAATCGTCACTTGTCTGAGTCGTCTTAGACTCTTAGTGTTCATCTCTCACTTGTCCACCCCCTCTCTCTTTTATCAACTCGAATTAAATAACTCAAGCCAAATCTAATTTTTAACCCAAAGTCTGTCCGAATTCAACCTGAACTCGTTTAATTAAACTCGGACAATTCTTAGGTTGAGTACCTCGGGTTAAGGTTATTATTAAAAATAAAGATTATACATTTAAGTTGGGGTATACTTAACGTTGGGATAGGATTGACCTGTCAGCCAGCTCAACCCACGTATTTCTCCCTCTCACTATTCACTCATCTCTCTCTTCCCAACGGCTCCTTTCCTCATCTCTCTCGCCAGTCACCCACCACCGACAATAGCCACCATAAATCCAGCGACCAGTTAGGTCTCTCTTGCCCCCTTTTTGCTCCTCTCTCTCTCTCTCTCTCTCTCTCTCTCTCTCTCTCCATTGCCTCTGCCACGCCACACATTTGCCCATTGCCTTTACCAAGCGAAACAACACCGGTGGCAACCTTCGTTGCCAACGACGACCAGTTTACAACGACCCTCAGGTATCTCTCTCTTTCATCCTCTACGACTCTCCTTCCCCTTTTCTCTTTTGCATTAGCTGCCACCTCCAACAACCATTCATGGCCCTAAACCCATCTCGACCACCACGTGTTCGACAAAATTTCTCAAAGAGTTTTCTCTCTCCTTTCTCACAAAGCGCACACACAATAATTGATTGCCTCTTTTTATTTTTTGTGTTGAGTTTCTTTAATTGGAATTAGGTGTTGATTTAATTGAATTTAGTTTCACCACCACAATTACCACATGCACGCACACACAGAGAGTCCCACAAAAAAATGCACTCACCCCCACAATTGCACACTTCACAGCCTCACGCATAATCATTTTTCTATTTTGGAGGTTTGTGGGGATTTTGGGTCCAGGTTTTGTGACTGTTAATTTGGTATTGAAATGTCAAATGTTTTGGAACCAAGAATGCCTCGATATATACGTGTCAAGGTTTATTGATTTGGTACTTGCATTGTATGTGTTTGGATTTGGTAATAAGTTTTGCATCCATAAGTTATGCTTACCTTTTAGAACCTTGAGAATGACTGATAGATAGTTTGATTCTTCATTGATAGATAGTTTGATTCTTCGTTGAAGCAGTTTGCATGATAAATGAAAAAATTTCTTTGTTTTATTGACAAATTGAAAAATTCAAATTACCTATGTTTTAATTTGAATTTTTGTTTATAATTTGTTAGTTTGTGTAATAAGTACCAGTTAATGAGAGATGGATATTTTCCAATCTTTTTTCAAATCCATAAGACCTAAACAACAGGTATTCTGGAATGGCTACATCAATGGATATTATGGCTTTAAATTTGCTCATGAATTTAATTGGTATGTCTATCTTAATGAGCTACTATCAAGCAATGCTGAATGTCAATAAAACAACTATTTTTTTGGCGTTAAAAGGGGAGGCTGTTGATTTCAAATGACACTATCTAAAAAGTTGTTTCTAGGAATATCTACTCAAGTTATGAAATCGGGATTGAGTTTGTTACTTTGCTCATTTTTATTTTATGAGGATTTCTTCATTATAGTTGTAATTTAGTTTAAACCATAAGGAAAGGATTTCTTCCTTGAGAATGGGGTTTTCTATAGCCCAAGTTTTTTTTTTTTTTTTGATATGTTATTTGTGATGATTTAATTTTTTGTGTGGTTAGCTTAGTAACATTTGACTGGATCTTTACATTGTATTTAGTATAATAACTTTTATGTGAACATCATATAGATGTGTAAGTCCATAGTGTTATTGCCCAAGCATTGTATGGATTGTTTTTGTGTAACAAAGTGCCTTTAGGCACAAACAATTACTAATCTAATATGAATTGGAAAAAATCAATATTTTTTTATAGTTTTTCATTGCTTTGTTGTTATCGATGGGCAAATTAAATGGTTGTCATCCTAGATTGAGTTGTAATTTTTATTGTTAATATTTTTTTTAAATCTAAGTCAATATGATTTTCAATTTGTCTATGTTGTTAATGTGGTCTTTGTTTGGGAAAAATTATTTGCGCTTATATGT